GGCAGAGCCGAGCAGAGGCTGGGGGGGACCCTCCCCAGTGCCCGTGGGGTGAGTGAAGTGGGGTACTCCCCCCCTTCCCTTTATAGCAAGGGCGTCCTCCCTGGCATCTCAGTTGCACAAACTTGTCCTGACCCGCCTGTACGGGGGCTCCACAGACGCCTCCCCATTCAAATTCCAAATATATTCAATAAAATGGACCAAAACCCACTAAAATTTATACAGAACCACAAAGACTCCAAATAGCTAAAGGCATCCTCAGAAAAGAGGTACCGTGTTTCTTGATTTTAAATTCTACTATAAAGCAACACTCATTAAAACAGTGTGGCACGGGGCAGCTCTCCTGCCACCTGTGACTACACAGTGCTCCATCTCTCGTTTTCCTAGTCACTTGTCCTTTTAAGATGTAAAAGAAAAACAACAACTGAAAACTGGAAAACCCCAAACAGTACAGCACTGGAATAAAGATCGACTCAAGACTCAATGGGACAGAATCAAAAGCCCAGCAATAAGTCTGTGCTGAGGAGTTATGTCCATCCCACGAGGAAGCAGAGTCCTTTTTAACAAATGGACCCTGTCTGATTGCACACGCCCACGTGAGTTCAAGCCGGACCAAGGGTTTGAAAAGACCATAGCAGTAAAGTCCACGGACGGGGATGCCAGCGGCAGCGTGGGGACCACAGTGTCAGCGTGAAGGTGTCGGAGAATCGGCCCCACGGCAAGGGCGAGACAGCGAAACAAACAACTGGGATTTTCTCAAATTTAAACGCTTTTCCGCAGAGAGAAAATACTGGCAGGCTAGAAGAAGCTGTTGACACATCACACGCTGGCTGGGGGCCAGCGTCCACGGCATTCAGTGACCAGCAGGAGGGCAAGCAACCCAGCTGAGCAAGGAGCAGCGGGCCTGAGCAGACGGTCCGCCCCAGACAAGACCCAGAAGGCCAACTGGCCGGAGAAAACGCTGACCGTCGCTTCTCGTCAGGGACAGGCAGGTCACCACGGCGAGGCGCGCCCGGCTCCCTGAGATGGGCGCCCATAGAGGCTCAGGTGCCCAGGAAGGGACAAGCCGCACTGGCGGGG